CCCGTGGCGGCTAGCCAGCGGATGCCAATCACCCCGCGCCTTCGCCCGCTGAAGGCGTTGGAACCAACGCCGTCGAGGCCAAAACGCTTGCCGGCGCGTCCGCCAGCGCCCCGCGTGCCCACCAGCCCGCGGAATGCCCCTGAGGCCTTGAAGGTTGCTCCGCCCGCGGCGAGATGCCCGTCAACCTACGCCCGCAGATGATCTTGCATCCGCACTCGCGCCGCGATGCGGCTGCCCCGCGCCGATGAATGCAAGCCGACGCTGGCGCGGCATCGGGCAAGTTTCGCGCGAGCCAGAATACTTGCACTCAAGGCAGAGCAGCGCGAACAAGCCCGCACCTGGGACCTGCAGAACTGACCGCGCCCCTCGGAAGAATGCCCCGCCACTTTGCAATATCATCACGAAGCCAGGTAACAGCTATTTGGCCGAATGGTGCCCCGCAAGGTCGCCCGCCTGACAAACGCGTAGACTCAGCTAGATGCCCGCGCTACGCGAATTGACAATCTTGGGCGCGCCCGCCCGCGGGGCGCCCGCCAGGACCTGTCCGCCCGCGATCCCGCCCGCGCCATGGCGGCCAAAGTTTGATCAGCTGCGGGCGCCGCCCGCGGAACCCACCTGCCCCCCCCCCCTCCACCCCCGACCGCTTGGAAGCGAACCCATGTCGTCTCGCCCACAAAATGCTTTCATTTGCCCACCACCCCCCCAACCCCTGCGCACTTCAATTGGACAGCCAATGGCGGGCTGCGCCACCCAACCCCCCTAGAATGCAACGCGAGACATCCCCATGCGCGCGCCCGCCCCGCTGCCCCCCCCCCCACTACCCCCCCGACCATCCCCCCGCCCCCTGCCACGCCCACCGCCACCCGCCACGCGCGCCGCCACCACACCACCACCACCAACCACCACCACCCTTACGTCCCCCCCCCCCCCACCCCCTGGCCATCACCACCACCGCCACCACCCCACCGCCGCCACACCACCCACGCACACACACCCACACACACACCCACCACCACCGCCACCACCACCACCACCACCACCACCACCACGCGACGCACACACCGCACGCACCACACGCAGACAAGCACAACGCGCCTTCCAGCGTGCGCCCGCGCGCGGGATGGCGAATGGAGCGCGTTCGTTTGAAACGCATCACCCAAAGCTGGCCAACCTCAGGACGCATATCTCGAGATGCCAGCCACGCATGTCATCAACGGCCGCCAATTATGCCCCGCCCCCCCCCCCCCTCAAAAAAGCGCGTTCAAGGCAGGACGCGCTTCGAAACGCAATTGGCTTACAAACACAACGCCTCTCTCCCATGATTCGCACCCGCGCGCCACGCGGCCCAAGCGAGACCCGCCCGCGGCGAAATGCAGCGCGCGTGTTTTACAACGGGGCGCGGGGCGTCGATAACGGGAGCAGCGATGTCGGGGCGCGGCGCGCGGCGCCTGACATGGGGCGCCTGCTGCGCCGCAGGCTCCCCGTGAGCCGTGGCCGCAAGGACCCCGTGCATTTCCGAAAGTCGGTAGCCCTAGGAGGCCGCGCGCTGCGCGTCGCTGGCAGAAGCACGGGGGCAGCACGATGCCTTGTCAGCGGCGAATCGTCGCCTTTTCGCGCGGGCTGTCGCCACGGCGTTGACGGGCGATGCTCGTCGGGCGCCGCCGCCGACGGGGCGCGCGACACATGAGGCGCGCTGCGCCGCAATCGCGGGCACGCGGGCGGCTGCGCCAAGCACATCGGCGACGGGCCGCGGCAGCGCCAGCGTCGACAAACCGCAATTGAAGCCGCGCCGCTGCGCCCGCGAGAGCCGCGTCGTGGCGCCCGCGGAGCCGCCATGGTGAGCGAGGCCGCCTGGCGCGTTTCGCGGGCTGCTGCTACCGCGTCGACAGCCGACAATCGCCCAGCGCGCCCCCCTTGGACGCAACGAACTGAGGCAACGCATCGCCGCAGACTGCTCGGCGCCGCGGCTGCAGCAACACGACGGCGAATGCGCGATGACGGCGCACCGCCGTGGGCGACGACCGCCGTGCGGAAGCCCGCCTCCGCGATTATGACGGGGGGCGCTGGCGCTCGGCGGCGCGGCACCCCCGCGGCGCGGGCACCGCGCGCGGCGTTGGGGCCACCTCGCCCGCAAAGGCCGCCGACCCTGCGAACGCGCAGATAACGCCTCCCGTTTTCGGGGCGGCCGATCCGAATGAATTAAGCGCCGTGCGCGCCCGCGGTTGCCCATCGACCCGAGACTACCCAACGCGCGCGCTTCCCGCCCGCTGCCGAACACGATGCACCCCGCAATTCAATGCATCGGCCGCGCGTGGGCAGCCGACGGTAGCAGCCGCCGCAGCAAAAGCTTGCTTGCCGCGCAGAGGGCGCGGCCCTTGCTCCAGGACAATGTACCTTCCCAGAGTTGCCATGGCCCTCGCCGCGACTGCGACCGCCCAGGGAGCACCTCATTGCGCGCCCGCCCTCGGCGCCGCGAGGCATCATTCTGCGCGAGCAACTGGGGGCAGTCACTGCAGCAATTGCCGAGCGCAGAATGAAGCGGCGAAGTTCTGCAACGACACACGTTGGCGCCAACCCGCGGGCCCGCGCGCGCTGGGCGCGACGCGCGACGATGCGTTGCGCGGCTCGGCTGCTGAGCGGCGCCGACAATGGCAACGCGCAGCGCCCGCTCGAGCGGCACCAGTCGAGCCTGCGAATTCGGACAGCGCACGGCAACGCGCCGCTGCAAAACCGTCGCCGATGAATCTCATCGCGCGCACCGCCGCGCCGCTGGGCGAATCCCCGCGTTGATACCGCGCGACGCAGCCGCCGTCGCGCAACCCGATGTCAATAAGTCGGTCCGCCGCTCCAGAACTCCAGGAGGGGCAAGAAACGCGCCGAGTGGACCAATGCTGCAAGGGACACGCCCGCGGTCCGCCAGCGAGGCGGCCCGAAGACAAAGTCCCCGACGAGATGGCCTCGCAATGGTTCCCCGACGCTGAAATCGGCGGTCAGCGACCTCGCCACAAATCCAAAGAAGACCCCGACGCATTGATGCACCGTTTCAAGGTAGCACAAGGGAGGCGGTCCCAGGTGTTGACGACTGGCTGCGGGTGACGCTGCGCCGATGGCCTCGGGCCCGCAGGACGTACGCGGCAACCCGAAGGGCGCTCGTCCGACCCCGACGCGCGCGCGGGCGGACTTCGACACCCCGATGCGCGCGACGGGGCGACGACCGATGCAACAGCTGGCCGACAGGCCTTGTGATTGACGGCGGGCCTCCTCGGAGGGCGCAGCAGCGCTGCCGATTGCCCGAACGCTGGCAGGCAGGCGGGCTGAACGGTGCTGACTGCGGCGCAGAAGCGGCCGCCTCCGCGACGCTGCGCATCTCTGCGACAAGCCTGCACTTGCATTGCCCGTCTGCCCCCGTTCGTCACCCCCCGCCCTCGCCATCCGCGCGCCTCCACCGTCCGTCTCAATGCCGTGCGCGCTTGACACTACCCCGCATCTGGGCGCAAGAGTGTCTGGGGCCGCCTGGCCCATCGCGTTGACCACGGCCCGCGCATATACGGGCGGCGAGGAGGAGGAGGAGGAGGGAGAGGAAGCGGGGGGGAGGAGGGGGGGGAGGGAGGGGGGGTAGGTGCGATGAATAACAAAAGGCGGAGGAAGGGGGGGGAGGAGAAGGAACGACAGCAGCAACAGCGCCAGCAAGATAAGGAAGAGGCGGAGGAAGAGGAGAGCTTACGTGTTTAATCACATCAACCCTCTGGGCGTGGGTGGTCTAGTAAGGTTTCTTCTCAAACCCGTGTCTTCCTCCTCGGGGGTGGGTTTGCCCAGCCCTCTATCCTGCCCCCCTGGGCCTGGACAGGGTGATGTTCGCTGGTAGGCGGGGCGCCCGAGATGGCCCAAGGCTGCCCCGAGAGCGCCTTGCAGAGCCCAAGGTGAGCCCCAAGATGGCTGAATATAACATAAGATGCCACGAGATGGCTCTGAGGATGCCCCAAGAGGGCCCAATACTGCCCCAATACGGCTCCAAGAGGCCTCCGAGACATCAAAGGATGCATCCAAGCAGCCAAGCTCTTTCAACAATCCAAGGGAGACAACTGATCCTTGCGTTCTGGCACGTTCGCCGTCGCTGGCCTCCCGAGGCCCCAACATGGCTCCAAGATGGCCCAATGTGGCCCCAAGAGGGGCCGCAGAGAGCCCAATGACGGCCCCAAGAATGCCCGCGGGTGCTCCAAGAGGGCCCAAGATGGGCCATGGGATTTTAGGTGGCTCACGAGAGGGCGGGGTGGTGGGGGGGGGGGGGGGGCGCGAACTGAAGAACCCTAAATTATTTGATCGGCCCCAGCCGATATGGCCCAAAGAGCGCACCCAATGCTGCCCAAGAACGCCCCAAGAGGGCCTCAAGAGGCGCCCAGGCGGCCCTAGGATGCGCCCAACATGCGTCCAAGAGGCCACCACCCCCGAGGGATCCCAAAGAGGCACATAGGCTCCCTGAGGCACCCAAAATGATCCAAGTCGGCGCATTCCCCTGGGGGATCGTGGGAGCGCGGAGGAGGGTGCAGGTGCAGTGCGAGGAGCTCGCGCTGCGTGGCCGTCCATACTTCAGCACTGCGCCGCTGGCTCTTATGACCGCCATCCTCCTCCTCATGCTTATCATTAGCCTTCTTCTCCCCCTCATCCGCATGTTCACCATCCCCCCTCATTCCTCCCCCAACTCCCGCTCGCCCCCCTCGCCCTCATCCGTGTTATCCATATCCGCCTCCTCCTCCCCCCCCCTCACCAGCCTCCTCATCCAAACCCCCTTCTTGGGGCACAACGGACTCGCCAACCCGTTGTCTCATTGCATGCCCCCCCCCCCACTTCCTAGATCAAGGCACAAGGCCTGCGCATCGTCTCTGGATGGGCTGACGGGGACACGCGAAACGTCAAAAAATTGAGAACCCGCGGTCCGCTCGGATTTCCTCGAGGGCGTCGCTCAGCGCCAGCAGCGCCTCGAGCTCGAGGCTAGCGTCCACGTCGTCCAAGGCGTGGAGCCCGTCCTTGTCGGGTTCGTCGCCGTCCTCGTCGTCACCCTGGCCATGCTCATCGCCAAGCTCGTCACCAGGCCCGCCGCCAACACCATGATCCCCATCATGCCCTGGGGCAGCAGGGTCGTCGTCTGGTCGTCGGTCAGCCCGCCTCCGCGTCAATCTCGGCCAATACTGGCGCTCGTCGGTGCCCGCGACGTCAACGACCTCGAAGTAGGCAGGGATGAAGTGTGCGCACGGCTGGCCGCTCTCGTAAATCTGATACGCGCGCAGTGTCCAAGTTCTGTGGTCCAGCTCAAGGTCGGCAAGCGGCGAGTAGAAGTCGTTGTACCTCCCAGTCGCCTGCAATGAGCCGCAATGCCGATTACACCTGAATAACAATTAAACTATGTTGCTCGGTCGATTTTGAATGAGACAAAAAATGTGCATCACAACACGCCTTGAATTAGAATATATGGCTGGTTACCCCGACGGGTCGCCTTCATGGGGATGCCAGGGCCGTACACGAGGCCCTCGCCGTCGCGCCGCCTCTCGACCAGGTGCCACGACGGCCTGTAAGGGCTCAGGTACATCATGCCAATGTGCATCCACACGTCGCCCTGGCGCTGGGGAGGCGGCGGCGCCCCGACAGGCGCAGCAGCAACATGATCGTCATCGACGTCGCTCCTTGTCCACGTCAGTCTGCACACAAGCTTGCCATCGAGCAACGTGCGGCGAGCCGCCGACTTGGCTTTAACCATCGGCTTCAGGGCCGTGAGCAAGTTCTTGCAAAACTTATCCAGGTTCTTACCCTCCTCCGAACACAAGCACACGGCAGCAAGCTGGCACTTCGAAGGTCGAAGGTGGGCTGCATCGTCTTCTCCGCCACCGCAGTGCGCAGGGCCTGGAGAGATCGGCCACGTCTTCATCGTCCAATCGCTCTGCAAAGCGGACGAGAGGTTCGAGTCCGTGGCGTGGCGGGACGCCCAAGCCGCAATCTTGCCACCGACCAGGCCGCTGTCGGGGTTGTAGTCGAAGAGGGGGCACGGAGAATGCGGGATGGCCACGAGCGCCTCCGCAAACGTCGACAGCTCGGGGGCGGCAGCCATAAACATCGCCACCTGGCGGTTGCCCACGTCCTGGGTAAACGTGGCCAGCGCGCAGTCGATCCGCGCGTCCTCTCTGGCAGACGCCTCGCCAGACGAGCGGGCGCCTGCCCGCGCAAGGCTCTGCACCAACTGAACCGACTGGAAAAAATCACCAGGCCCGTCAGCACTTTCTTGGAGTACAGCGGCGGAGAGCTGGGCAACCAATGCCTCGTCCGAGAGCTGGTCGCGTCCTCTATCGGCCACGGCACGTCTCAGCTTTCGCCGCGCAGCCTTCTGAGCCTTCCCGAACGTCACCCCGAAGGCAGACTTTGTGGCTGACATGCCCCTGCCCGCAATGGTGGCCAGCCGACCAAGCTCGACGTAGTACGCCTTTGCCTCTGGCGACAGAGCGTTGCACTCCGCCGATAGCCTCCCCCAGTCAGGTCGCCCCCCAGGCGCGTGATGCACGCTAGCGTAGGCACGACAACCACCGCCTGAGCACTTCTTAACTTTAGGCGCCCTCGACCTAGCTGTAGTAACTTGTTTTGATGTGGCTGCTGGCTTCACGAACTTCCCCTTCGTCTTCTCGATGCGCCTCCTTCTCACATTGTCACAGACCCACTTCGAACAGAGAATTGGCCCCTCCACAGAATGCGTCTGGACACTCATGCCCACCAGCAGTCTGCGTATCGTAGCGTGCATGGTCTCAATCTTGCTGATGTCCTTCTTGATGAGAAGCGCCAGCAGTCTGAGCTGCATCAGCACATCGGCGCCGTCGGAGTCCTCATCCCATTGCTGAAGCATGGCGTAGCTCCACTCGCCCAAGACACAACGAGGCTCGTGCTTGAAAACGTCGTACAATGTAGGGTCCGATAGTAACATGAAGAGTCGGTTGTGGAAACGGCGATGCGGCAGTCGGAGAAGCTCAGCCACTGCGCACCCAATGCGAGCGAGCATCCGCAGGATCAAAGACCGACCTGCAACTGATTGCCACTCACGCGGCAGATGTACCCACGGTTCAGGCGTAAACATCAAACTACGCAGGCGCATGTCGAGGTCGTCCTCTAGCTTCATCTCTGCTGCAATGGCGATGCGGTGCTCGCGCGGCTTACCGCCAGCGGCGTGGCTGAAGGAGTTCGCCACCTCGGTCGCTCGTTGCTGCCGTTCCCACTTGTCACTCGCCAGCCTGAAGTGTGCTGCTAATAATATTCGCAATGGTTCCATGCACGTCCGAGCAATCATGAGTAGACCGAGGGGCTCTGACTCCACGAACGCCTCGCCTAACCTCCTGTGGCGGGCTTGCGCCTCCTGCCACGTCTCAGTCGGGGCCTCGGCTGCGTTGCCTCCGACCTCGCCCGCGGGCGCGGGAACTGGCCGATCCGCGTCCATGATGGCTGGGACTGTGTCGGGCGCTGCCAGAGGCAATATTGCAGCTGCACCAGCCTCGCCCGCGGCGCGGACAGGCCTGTTCGCCTTGGGAAAAGTCTGGAGAAACGCTTTATACACCCTCCCAAGGATGCCAGAACACGCTGCGAGTATTCCAATCTCGTCGGTGCTGATGTCACAACCTGTCCACCTGTGGCGCGGGTACGTGCTGTAAGACCTGTGAGCAAGCGCCACAAGGAGCCCGTCTTGTACCAAATAAACGATATCTCCCCTGTTTGGTTGAGACCCGTGGGCGCAATAGAACTCGATGTTATCAAGGTTTCTCCAATCTCCTGGCGCGCACTTGGTTAGCAAGGCCCGTCGCTCGGCTGCCCGAGGTCCCCTGGCCAAGAAGAGCGAGAGGATCACTTTGCGATATTCGACAGCGTCTGGCGGCGGCTCACCAAATTTGATCAATAACCTATTGTCTATATCGGCTGCCAAGCATTTCCTGAATCTCCGCATGTTGTCACCGCCACCGAGCGACAAGCTCACGTTGATAAGGCCAGAAATGAAATCCTCGGTCAATGCAAAAGTCTTGGTGTGCACGGCAGAAACAATATGTGCATCGCATGGCTCATGGAGGCCGAACCACGGAGTCGGCGACGTGTTGTTGCGGTGCTTGGTCATGCGAGCCTCCGCCACTAAGTTTGCACCATACTTGTCGGTCGTAGCATGGCGAACTTTATTACTAAATGCGTGGGTGGCGTCTGTCACGGCGTCGGTGGTCAAAAGTGCTGCATACAGGGATTCTGCAGTGGTAGAGCTCAAGATCTGGATCCAATTCACAGTCTCGCCGATGATCATCACGTATGGGTTATCAGAAGACCCAGGTGGTAGATCGAACTTCAAGAGGACGCCCCACCGAGACTCAGTTTGAAACAACTTGCCAACCGTCGTATCTTTAGCAAGAGTACTTGTGCGGGCTCGCATCATCGCCTTCCCAGGCGCTCTGCTCCAGAAAAGACGGACTTCCTGCTCTCTCGTCGTAAGCCGCATTGGCGTCTCATCGTACCTGGCGGAATCGATGAACAGGAGCTTGGAGACTGGCATCTTCGCGATCGCAGCAACAAACCGATGGACCGCCACGCGGTCGCAAGCTGATACACACGAGGCAATCAAAGGCAAAGACGAATTCAATTTCCATCGCGGCACGTCTGCCGCATGTCCTGACTGTAGCTTGCACCTCGTGGGCAACGGGTCGACGCACTGCTCGCGAACAATGGCGAGCACGTCGGCGTCCAAGTCATCGTCGGGCGCCACCGAAACCAATCGTCCAGCCACGTGTAGCGCCCAAGTCAAAGGAGAGGTCTGGAACGGTGCCCTGGGCTCGCACAGTAGCCTGAACGTCTCTTGCGTCAGTTCGGGAGGCCGCGGCGCCACGACCGCTGGCACCAAGGCGCCTGCTGCTGCGCCAGGCCCGAGCACGGCGGCGTCGGCGCGCTGCCGCCGACGCTCTGTCAACACATCGCGGGCGCGGGCCAAGTTCGCAAGGCGAGCGTCCATGGACCTGGGCAATGCGAGCGCGGTGGTCTTACTGAAATACTCAGCTACGTCGCCCTCCACTTCCGCATCATCCTCCTCTTCTCCACCTCTTCTGCCCCTCATCCCCCTTATTATCACCCTCGTCCTCCTCGTGATCCCCCCCCCACTCCCCCCCCTCATCACCCCCGCCCCCCCCCTGCTCCCCACCGTCCCCCATCCCCCTACTCCTCCCCCTCGCTGGCCTCTGTGTTTGAAGAGCCACATAGCACGAGTATCTCAGCTCAACCACCACCGACGCATCCCGACTGGAGCTCAAGCTCCAGGAAGCCAAAATGGCTGCAAGCACGGGTGACGGCGGAAGGGCGGGGGAGGGTGGGTGAATTCCCCATCTGCGTGCGTCCTTCGCCTTCTTTCCCACCAAGATCCCCCTCCGCCCACCCCCCTTCCCCCTGTTCACGCGATGGCCTCGGGCCAAGGGGGGCGAGGGAGGGATTGGGATATGATTGCTGAGCCCCCGCTCCCCGCGGAGACCCCCCATGGCAATGCACCCCCACGGCGGACGGGCCTGCCCTCGGGAAGGCGCCCCTCGGTGAAGGCATTCTGCGTTCACGGTGAGATTGTGACGATGTCTCCAACGCATTAATGGTTTCGGGCGTTTGGGCTCGTCGGCCTGGGCGGGACCGCCTGGAAACGAATGGGGGGGGGGGGGGCGGGGGGGAGGGGGCGGCAATGGGGGGCGCCCCTTATTAACCCCAAATTCTGGCCACGACGACGAAGGCCCCCCAGGAGGGGCAGCGAACGCATAACAACTAGACCTCCGAGGGTCTGCGCCCTCAGCCCGCCCCGGCTAAACTCGGCACAGTGGCCGCGACGCAGCGCGGAGCTGCGGGAGGTAAGCCCGCGGGCGATCCCTGGCCCGACGCCCCCACCCCCGCCCCCACCCCCCCTCCCCCAAAAAATATGGCCCAACACCCGTGGGTTTGCAGGGCCGCCGAAAGGGAATAACACGCAGTCGGGCGCGGGTTTGTCCAGCGACTTCTTGGCCAATGCAAGCACTGCAGAGCTTTTACGAGGCGTGAGTAGTCCTACGCCCTACGCGCCCAATCGCGCCTGCAGGGATAGGCGTTCTCTTTCAGACAAAGGTAGACTGGACCAACCCTAGTGCATATGCGTGCACCCCAAATCGGTGCGTTTGGATTCACGAGTCGGCAACAACGAGCACGCGTACCACGCGCGCGGCACCGCGACCCCGATGATCAAGCCCCCAGGGGGGCGGAATTCTCGGGGAGGGTGGCTGGGCCCGCGGGGAGGAAACTTACCATAATGCCCCTCTGG